CTCCCTTCCCTCCCCTGCGTCTCATCCAGTGAACTGCTGTCCTCCCTCCTCCCCACATTGTGGGTCAGCGTCCCCGTATCAGAGAGGACACTCAGCCTTTGGTTGTTTTGGGGACTGGCTTATTCCACTCAGCACGATCGTCTCCAGCTCCGTCCATTTACCAGCAAATGCCGTCATTGCATCCTTGTTGATGGCTGAGTAATATTCCACTGTGTATATGGACCACAGTTTCTTTGTCCATCCCCTGTTGAAGGGCAGGACATCTAGGTGGGTTCCATGGTTTAGCTATCATGAACTGAGCTGCCATAAACACTGACGTGGCTGTGTCCCTGTCCTGTGCTGATTTAAGTCCTTTGTGTATAGACCAAGGAGTGGGACGGCTGGGACCCAGGGTGGCTGCATTCCCAGTTTCCTGAGCCCCTCCCCCCTGCTCTCCTCAGTGGTGGCACTGAGTTCCAGTCCCCCAGCCGTGGCTGAGTGGGCCACCCCCTCGCCCACACTCCCTGAGTCACCCGAGTCCTTTGTCCACATCCGTGAGCCCAGGGGCCGCCTGGACTAGGGGGACAGCCTTCACCCCTTCAGGGTGGGGCCTCGGCTCAGCGCTGACTGTGGGTCCCAGCGCCTGGTTCCCGGGGTCCTTGGCGCTCACCCTGGGACCCCCCAGCGACCTTCCTGCAATCGGGATCTTTTGGTCCCCGGAGGAGGCACTGGGGGCCGTGATGGGGACACAGCTGGGGACCCCTGCCCTGCCTCTGCCTCCCGCCTTTGTGGCCTCTGTCCCCAGCCTGCAGACTGACCCTCCTGGCCCAGCCCCTTCCATTCCCAGCCTCCGACCGTGTGCCAGGAGGGGACAGCACAGACACCAGGGGACACACTCCCGCCCTCCTGGGACCCCGGGCTGTGACAGGGAAGCCCCAGGAGGAGGCCACAGAGGGCAGAGAGCGGCCGGCTCCCTGGGCAGGGGCTCCCCATCGCAGCCCCAGGGAGGTCAGGCCGGGGACAGCTGCCGCCTGTCCTCACCCGTAGCTGGGCCACTTGAGCCACTGAGCAGACCTGCGCGGGCCTTGAAGTGGGGAGGGACACGTTGGGCAGTGAATCAAGACCCCGCCCTGATGCTGGCGCCTGAGCTGCAGAGTGGTCCTCCCCACGCAGGGACTTCTGGAACCTCCAGGAAGGAACCTTCTAGAACCTTCCTGGAAGGAACCTTCCAGAACCACCCTAGAAGGAACCTTCTAGAACTTTCTTGGAAGTAACCTTTGTAGAAAGAACCTTCTAGAACCTTCCTGGAAGGAACCTTGTGGGAAAGAATCTTCCTGGAAGGATCATTCTGAACCTTCTTGGAAAGAGCCTTCTGGAACCATCTAGAACCTTCCTGGAAGGAACCTTCTGGAACCTTTCTAGAAAGAACCTTCGGCAGCTAAAAATGGAACCTTTTAGAACCTTCTAGAACCCTCCTGGAGGGAACCTTCTAGAACCTTCTGGAATCTTCCTGGAAGGAACCTTCTGGACCCTCCCAGGACCTGTCCTGGAGCACTGACGGGCTCCTGTGTGCACCCCCCCGCCCAGGGACAGAGCGACGGTCTTGTTCTGGACGCGGATCCTGCCCTCGGGGACGTGGGGTGCTGTGGTGGACACAGGTCAGTGCTCTGAGCTCGAATCTGTCTGGATCCCGGCTCCTTGACCTTGACGCGGCCACCGCGCCTCTCCAACCTTGTTCTCGTCTGTAGCACCCACGTCGCTGTCGCCAGAGGGTGATGGCACACGTGCTGTGTCCATGGCACAGCTGCCCAGGTGGACCAGGGCAGCAGCCGTCTGTGGAGAGCCCGTGGTCACACTCGGGACCCCACCTGGGCTGTCTCGTGCTGTCCTGCTGTGACCAGGGCGGGCACAGGGTGGGTGTGTGTGGCAAGTGGTGGTGACAGTAACAGGCTGCAGTTCCCTGCTGTGGCTTTGTGTTGTCAGGGGCACAATTTAAAGAACCACCAGTTGAACACAGTTTTTTCCCTGATTTCATTTTACCTTTAATTTGATTTTGATTTTAATTTAATTTTACTTTTAATTTTCTTTGGTCCTGGGAACTGAAGTGGCTTAACCACTGAGCCACACCCCACCCCTTCATCCCCGTAAAAAAAAAAACACTTTTAGCTGCAGATGGACACGATCTCTTTATTTTATTTGCTATTTTATGTGGTGCTCAGAGTTGAACCCAGTGCTCTGCCCCTGAGCCCCGTCCCCAGCCCTTTTTCTATTTGATTTAGAGACAGGGTCTCGCTGAGCTGCTCAGGGCCTTGCTCAGTGGCTGAGGCTGGCCTCCACCTTGAGATCCTCCTGCCTCAGCCTCCCGAGCTGCTGGGAGGACAGGTGTGCGCCCCTGTGCCCGGCTCCTGATTTCAAATCCAGTATCCTTTCTGCTTCTTAGAATACCTTTTGATTTTTTCAAAAATCTGATTTTCGAGGTTTCTCGACTATATTCAAAGTCTGATGTTCTTTTCCCCTGAACACATTTCCCCTCCTCTGTCCCACAAGGAAAGTGACATGTCCCAGATCCCCGAGGCTGTGTTCAACGCTGACCTTTGTGAGTTTCTCATTATTTTTATTTTTGAAACGATTAAGATATAGAATCAGTAGAATTGGAAATTGTCGTTTTGAACACTCCCGAGAGCCTTGAATGGCTCTGCGCACCCTCCAAGGACCCCGTGGTCCCCAGCAGATGACAGCCCTGATAGGCGGGAGGCACAGAGGGCCGTTTGTGAGCTGCGTGTCTCTGTCTGGCTCCCACCCACTCGTCCCAGAGCCATTTCCCGACCCTGGCTCGTGGGAACCGGGAGGGACACTGCCCGATTCATTCCATGCAGAGATGAAGGACCCCGAGCGCCCGGGCGGCCCAGCCCTGTCACTTCCTGGGGCCTGATCAAAAGTCGGATGAGGAAACCGCTGCCCGGTAGCAGGCCCGGAGCTGACCCCGGCTTCCCGCGGTGCCCTGGTTCTCAGCGAGGCCCGACAAGTCCCCGTGACCTCTGACCCCCTTAGAAGTGTCCCTGGGCCGGCTGCAGAGGGGACACTGGGGCAGAGCTGTGTGCTGGTGGGAACAAAGGCTGCCTGGGGACCCCAGGAGGCCACCAAGGGGCCCTGTCTGCACTTAAAGCTCCGAGTGTGTCTGTCCACTCCTTTCCCATCGCAGGGTCCCAACAAGTGGGCAAGACGAGGCGCCTGGTGGCACTCAGCCCGGGAGGAGGAAAGGGACACGTTCCTGGTAAATAAAGTGGAAGAGGCTCAGGCGCTGACCTCGGCTCCGGTCAGCTCAACAAAGATCTATGTCGAGGAGCCCTGGCCGGGTCTCGTGCTGTGACAACGGATCACAGCCGCAGGCCTTGCTGTGAGCACTCGGGCTGGGGTGAGCGAGGCGAGGCCAGGTGTGCAGGCACAGGGAGCAGGTGAGGAGGGACACGGGGGACACGGATGGGGCATGTGCCTTGATTCCTAAACGGAAAGTGGACGGGGGGTAAAGCTTGGAGGACAGGAAGCTGGCATGCAGCCCGGGTCCCTCCTGGTCAGGGCAGGCCGTGGGGCCTGTTGGTCGGGAGCCTCTGCATGGGGTAAGATCTCTGCTCTGGCTGGGCCTGGTGGCACCCAGCTGTCATCCCAGCAGCTCAGGAGGCCGAGGCAGGAGGATCGCAAGGTGGAGGCCAGCCTCAGCCACTTAGCCAGGCCCTGAGCAGCTCAGCGAGACCCTGTCTCTAAATAAGATATAAAAAGGGCTGGGGACGGGGCTCAGGGGTCGAGGGCCCCTGGGTTCAACCCCTGGTACCAAGAGAACAAATCTCTGCTGACCCCTGACGGCTGTGTAACTGGGTCTTCATGGGACCCCTCCTGGGCCTCATTTCCTCACCAGGAAGGTCGCAGGTGGTGTCTGGGCTCGGGAGGGGACCTGGAGGGTTGGAATTAGTCTTTTTAACCCAGAGGAACCCAACCCCTGAGCCCTGTCCCCAGCCCTTTTTATATTTTATTTAGAGACAGGATCTCCCTGAGTTGCTTAAGGCCTCCCTAAGTGAGGCTGGCCTCCACCTTGCCATCCTCCTGCCTCAGCCTCCGGTACTGCTGAGCTGACAGGTGGAATTACTCTTGACAGTCCCTTAAAGAACCCACCAGGCAGTGCAGCCTTGGCTCTGTGGGTCCCCTCACCCACCAGAGCAGGCGTGGGCCGTCACACAGGCTGGGACCCGCCTCACCTCCCACCTGTCCCCGCTCTGCCATGTGGGAGGCTGCAGGGGTCAGGCTGGGCCAGGTGGGCTCAGCTTCACCTTGAATAGGGCAGGGCCATGGGGCCAGGAAGGAGCCCAGGACGGGGTCTGCCAAGTGTGAAGTCACCTGCGTGGCCCACTTGAGTGGGAAGCAGCTGTTGGTCACAAGAGGAGGGACTGTGAGGCCACACCTGCTTATCCAGAGGACAGTGGGGGCTGTCACCAGGAAGTCAACCCGCCAGGTCTGCGGGGGATGGATCCATGGATGGATTGATTGATGCACTTAGAACATGACTCTGTGGGGCCGGGGTAGAGGCTCAGCGGTCTCCGCATTGGTCCTCCTGCCTCAGCCTCCGGCATTGGTAGGTGTTGATAGGGCCACGGTCCCTCTTTCTTCACAGTTTCTTGGAGTTGCTTGGTCTCCCCTGGTTTGTAGCTGTGTCCTTTACTACCTGCCCCTACACCAGGGCATCTGTGGGGCCCTGGGTTCCCCCCACGTAAAAATTCAATGTGAATTTGTTTGGAATGGTTTCTAGATGTCCCTGCTTGAAAATGACAGAGGCAGCAAAATGTCCAGTGACTCTTCTTTCCTTTTTTATTTTTTATTTTGAGATCTTGCTGATGGTCTTGCTGAGTGGCTGAGGCTGGCCTCCACCTTGCGATCCTCCTGCCTCAGCCTCCCGAGCTGCTGGGACGTCAGGCGTGCGCCACCCCCGCCAGCCCTCTTTTCCCTTTCTAACCTGCTGTTCTCTGTCCCAGGGGCCCAGATCATCGATCTGATGATGCTGGTCATCGATGTGACCAAGGGGATGCAGACCCAGTCGGCGGAGTGCCTCGTGATTGGTCAGATCGCCTGCGAGAAGCTGGTCGTGGTGCTGAACAAAATAGACCTGTTACCCGAAGGGAAGAGACAGGCGGCCATCGACAAGATGACGAAGAAGATGCAGAAGACCCTGGAGAGCACCAAGTAGGTCTGCCCTCGAGACACGGTGCCATGGGAGAGGGCGTCTGGGGCGCTGCTTGTCATCAACAGGGATCGGGCAGGCGCTGGCCACATCAAGGGCCTCATGGAGTCGGGTGAATGTGAAGGTGCTGCTAAAAGGAAGCCCCAAATTGTGGGTGCCGTGGCGCCCGCCTGTAATCCTAGAGACTCAGGAGGCTGAGGCAGGAGGATCGCAAGGTGGAGGCCAGCCTCAGCAACTCAGCAAGACCCTCAGCCAATCAGAAAGAGCCTGTCTCAAAATAAAATATAAAAAGGGCTGGGGATGGGCTCAGGGGTGAAGCACCCCTGGGTTCCCCCGCGTGGAGGGCCTGGGCCTGGGGACATCGGTCCTGTCCTTTTGAATTCCCTGGGTGGGGACAGAGTCCCGCCCGTGTTTCCCGGCAGACCTCAGCGCCAGGGAGACCGAGAATCCTGCTCTGTCCCCGTCTGCGTCTCTACAACTGCACCATCAACACCGGACAGGGAATTTGGGTGGGTGACTGTTTTTGTCACAGAGGTTTGTGAAGTTGGGTAGGAGGACAGACGGACGGACACTGCTGCTGGAGACCACATTTGGAAATGCTAACCTGTGTGACAAAGGACCTCGGTGGCTTTTCCTGCCTAGGAGTTGACAGTTTGATTTTGTAGACAGTAGGAAGTCGTGCGGGTGCGGTGGCACATACCTGTGTCCCAGGGGCTTGGGAGGCTGAGGCAGGAGGATCGCAAGGTGGAGGCCAGCCTCAGCCACTTAGCAAGGCCCTGAGCAACTCAGCGAGACCCTGTCTCTAAATAAAATAGAAAAAAGGGGCTGGGGACGGGGCTCAGTCAGTGATGAGCACCTTGGGGTTTAATCTTTAGTTTTTTTTTAAAAAAAGTAGGAAGTCATTGGAGACTTTTGTGCAGGGAGGGGGTGACTGAACGAGGTCACATCAGATCACCGTCCGCAGGTGGGAGGCTGGACTGGTGGGGAGGACCTGGGGTGACTGGGGGGGGGCAGAGGCGTCTGGGCTGAGCGTGCTCCCAGGGAGAACAGGCACCTTCCCGGGTTGAGGCCGTGTAGGGCGGAGGAGGCCACCTGGGGGGACCCCTAGCAGGACCCTTCACAGCACTTGCTCCTGAGGACACTCACGGGGCCCAGGAAGGTGGCCGCGTCCCTGTGCGGGACCAGGGAGCGAGAGGCAGGTGGGCCTCCAGGGACCCGGAGCCACCTGGTCGCTCAGGCCTGTCGCTCAGTCCCAGTAACTGATTCTGATGAGGCCAAGCAACTCAGCCAGTGTCACTGTCCCCACAGCCTCATTGTCCCAGCCTCCTCCTCCGTGTCCCTGGTGATCCATACTAAACAGCGGTCACCGGGCGACAGGGGAGCCTCCCCTTGGCTATGCAGCAGGAACAATATCCTGCCCCGTCCACCTCCTGCCTCTGCCCGTGGAGGCCGCCAGAAGAGGCTCTTTGTGTCCTTGTTGCGAAGATGGATCTGCTTCCCCATTTATGATGGTGTTTTTTTTTTTTTATTTCCAGAATCTCACACCTGCAGCGCTTCCACAGAATTCTCCAGTTGCTTAAATTAAAGCCCCAGCCCCGTGAATGCACCAAATATGTCATAAAAGATTTTCCAGCGCTGCCTTTTGTGACCAAAATTCATCAATCCGATAAAATCGACACATTTAGATAAGTGTTGCATGAGAATGCAGGGCTCCGGCTCCCCGCGGAAGTGGGCATGAGGCTGTAAAAAGGGAGATAAAAAAATTATATCTCCTTTGGAGTGAGTTATTTGATCTCCCTGCCGCTTTATTTACTTGTCACAGAGCGGAGAACAGGTCTTGGGGACCCTGCAGAAAACGTGCCGTCCAGTGTCGCTGTCATTGACTCCAGGAATGGGACCTTCTGGGAAGGGCGGAGGGACTCGGGAGGGTCAATTCATACTTGGCCACGTCGATGAGTGACAGGGAAGGAAAATCCGCATTGGCAGGTTGAAATGGCTCTTCCTGTTGGAATGTCGTAGTTGAAGGTCAAATGACGGACTCCATGACAGAGCCAAACGGGATGGTCCATTGGTGGGGACTTTAAATTTTTTTTAACATAATTTTAGGTCCTAAGGATGGAACCCAGGGTGCTGGACCCCTGAGCCCCGTCCCCAGCCCTTTTTATATTTTATTTAGAGACAGGGTCTCGCTGAGTTGCTGAGGCTGGCCTCTACCTTGCGATCCTCCTGCCTCAGCCTCCCAAGCTGCTGGGACGGCAGGTGTGAGCCACTGCACCCTGTCACATTTTTTTTTTATTGTGGTAAAATATACACAATATTTCTCATTTTCAACACTTGTAACTGTGCAATTCAGTGACCTCAAATACACTCACGATACTTTATACTCATCTCCCAAAACCTTTTCACGATCTCCCAAGTCAGTTCAATACCCATGAAGCAATTCTTCCTGTTCCTCTAGGAACCTTTGTTCTGCTTTCTGTCTGTGAATTTCACCTGTTCTAGGTCCCTGAGCTGACGGGAATCCTGCATGTCACAGACCATAAAGTCTTCCAGAAATTCTATTTATATTGTACCAGGTTTCAGAACTTGGCTTCTTTTTTGTGGCTGTATAGTATTCTGTGGTGTACCTGGGCCCTGTGTTGTTGATCCATCCTTCTCTTAATGGACACTTGTGTTGTTCCCTGTCTGTTATGAACGATCGTGCTGGGAATTTGGGTGTAGAGATAGATACCTGTTTAAGTCCCTGATTTCAAGTCCTTTGAATATATACTCTTAGTGGGGCTAGGTGGTGGCTCAGGGCTCGAGTGTTTGCCCACCATGTTCTGTCCCCAGTACACCCCAATAGATACACAGATATATGTAATGGCATTTACACATATACTAATATATTTATATAAAATATCTAGCTGGGTGCTGTGGCACGCGCCTGTCATCCCAGCAGCTGGGGAGGCTGAGACAGGAGGATTGCAAGTTGGAGGCCAGCCTCGGCAACTTAGTGAGGCCGTGAGCAACTTGACAAGAGCCTATCTAAAAAATAAATAAATACATAATTCGATAGCTAAATAAAGAAAAGGCTGGGGTGTAGCTCAGTGGTGAGGTGCCCCTGGGTTCAGTCCCTGCCACCCCCATCCTCCAAAACCAGCCCCAGGAGGTACGAAATGAGGCTGTTGTTTTAATGAGTAGTGAGGTCGAGATCCTGGGGGGCTTATTGGCCATTTGTATAACTTCATGGAAAAATATTTCTATCCTTTGCCCATTTTAATTGGATTGTTGTTGTTGAATTGCAGATTTATACACTGACCCCTGCCATCGTAGGCTTTGCGATTCTTCTCGACCAGTCCGTAGATTGTCATTTTGATTTCTTGGCAGGGTCCTCTCATATACAAAAGTTCTTTTTTTTTTTTTTTTTCTTTTGTACCAGGGATTGAACCCAGGGGACACTTACCCAGTGAGCCCCATCCCCGGCCTTTTTAACATTTATTTAATTAGAGACAGGGTCTCACTGAGTTGCTTAGGGCCTCGCTAAGTTACTGAGGCTGGCCTCCACCTTGCGATCCTCCTGCCTCAGCCTCCTGAGCTGCTGGGGATGACAGGTGTACACCACGGTGCCCAGCCTGCCGTGTTATTTTCTAAACGGGTTCTCCTGTTTTACAGATGACTGAACAACTGACTTGGGTTCATATGTTGAAAATATATCTGCCTTCAAAATATAGTTGAAACTTTAAGATGGAAATGTCATTTTATTCTCATTTTTAACACAGGACTCTTGAATCGGTGGGGAGGTGGCACATCTCTCCTAAGTGCATCAGACACGTGTGCTTGTGTGTCTGTGACCTGGGCACATATCTGGTCTGTTGGCCTCTGGCCTTTTTAATATTTATGCGTCCAATATCCACAAAGGTGGTTCCAGCCTCCTGCCCACCTGGCCGTCCCTGCAGGTCCCTCCATCCGGGTTCCTTTTTTTTTTGGACACATAGAAGTTCCTAATTTCCACGTCGTCCCACTCTTTGATTGTTTTTCTTTGTGATTTCTTTATCTCTGAAAGCATTTAAAATGACTCGCGCATAAGCATTTATCAATGTTCGCGGAAATCAAAATGGGAGATCAACACGCGCCCCAATCTTCCCAATGCATCAAATTAAAATGTTTCCTCCCGTCCCCCCGGCCAGCTTGCCCACAGGTACACAATTCGAGGTGGTTGTTATCACCACGTTGACACGATTCCGCGTTCTGGGCTTTTCTGTTTATTTTTTCTGCTAAATGTCATCCTCTGACAGCACCTTAGGCCCATCTTCCCCCCCAGACGCGTGTTTCTTGCTTCGAAGACACTTTTTGGGGGGGTGGTAGGGGTACCCGGGATGGAACCCAGGGGCCCTCGACCCCTGAGCCCCGTCCCCAGCCCTGTTTTGGATTTTATTTAGAGACAGGGTCTCCCTGAGTTGCTTAGGGCCTTGCTGTTGTTGAGGCTGGCCTCCACCTTGCGATCCTCCTGCCTCAGCCTCCCCAGCTGCTGGGGTGACAGGCGTGGGTCACTGCACCTGGCTGAATTCTTTTTCCTTCTCTGTCCTCTTTAAATTCCCTTTTCTGACTCTGCTGTCCCCCTTTGCAAGGCTGCCCAGTGGCACAGCTGGCCTGGGCTGTGGTGGCCTGATGGGGTCAAAGAGGTGGCAGTAGCAGCGTGAGCCGAGATGGGCCCTGGGCAAGGCTTGGGCTCCTCCAAACACCCGCGGGGCCTGGGGAGGCCGAGCAGGAGAGGCTGGGACAGACTGCCAGGGGCCTTGGCAGCGGCCCGGGTGTCGGCTGCTTCCTGGGCGTCACGGTCCCCTGAGGTCCTTACAGTCAGGGCCTGGGACAGGGCTGTGTCCAGTTTTTGGAGAGCATTTGGGCACCCTGGTGACAAGGGCCATCCAGGGCGGAACTCCAGTGACGCTCGGGGGAATGGGTTGGAGTCACAATAAGAAGTTGCGGGGACCGAGGAGGGACAGGGACACCCGCACAGCACACAGGTGGCTCAGGCTCCATCACAGACCGTGAGCCAGGGAGCAGCGCAGGTGGGACACGGCCTGGTGGCCGGTGGGAAGGTGACCTCTTGAGGGGACGGTCAGGCGAGCCTGTGGGGCTTGGGGCCGTGATGGTCCTGTGGGTCGGTGGCCGTCTCCTCTTCTGTCACACAGCGTCCTCCGTTTGGCAGGGGACGTGGGCTGTCAGCTTTAGTGGCAGGTGGGAGATGTCCCGTCACACGGCCTGCGTCTGAGTTCTCTTAGAGACACGGGGGACGGCAGGGACAGTGACCTGGGTCCCCGGGGGAGACTGGCAGGGCGGGGTCTGGGGACGGGCTTCTAGAAGGTTCTTTCTGGCCCGGGGTTGAGACCTGGGGGCAGCGGGTTCTTGGAGGGACTCCTGTTCAGTTGTCCCTTCTGGGTGGCCCCTGTGTCCTGCTGAAGTCTGGGCACGTGGCCAGTGTGGAGGGACATGGGGCCAGGAGGGTCCGAGGGGCAGCAGCCCGCGTGGCCAGGTGGCCTGGGCGTGGCTCTGAGCCGTGGGTCACAGGAGGGACTGTCCTGCCTGGTTGTCCGTTAGCGCCTTAGGTCCAGCCAGTGTCCCCAGTTGGGCCACTCCTGTCTTCAGAGTGTCCCCAGCGTCTGAACAGGCCTTGCCCACGTGAGTCAGGCCTGCCGAGCGTGGAGCAGCCCCAGGGTCCCCTCATGTCCCTCTTGGTGGCTGCAGCGTTGGGCTTCTTGTCCCCTGGGGGGAGGGGCTGCTGCAGGGTGATCAAACACGTCCCTGGGAGCGAAGAATGTCAACAAGTGACACGTGCGGACCTCAGACAAAATATCTTAACTTGAAACACACACGTGCATTTCTGCTTGGTGACGTCGACAGGCGACTTGTGACAGAGGAGCTGGGGGCCGGGCGGCATCGCCCCTTCCTGTCAGGACAGCGTGGCTGGTCGTGGTCCCCACTGGGGTGGACCTCCTGCTTGAATTTGGGCCTGTTCCCTCTTTTCTTAGGGGTTTGGGACTGAACCAGGGTCCTCGACCCCTGAGCTGCTCAGGGCCTCGCTGAGTGGCTGAGGCTGGCCTCCACCTGGCGATCCTCCTGCCTCAGCCTCCCCAGCTGCTGGGACAACAGGCTGCGTCTCTTTGTAACGCCACTTTTTCGTGATGCTACATTAAATCATGTTGTTAAAGTGACACTGGGGACTGGCATTTCCAACTCAGCGGCAGCACCCGTGGCCTTCAGCGCACAGGTCGGCTGGTGGGACAGAAGCCCAGGAGGCACCTGCTGCCCCGGCCTGTGACCCGCAGGTGGCTGCCCAGTCTGGGCGCTCTGCTCCCCGGGTGCCAGGCCCGGGACTCCCTGTGGGCGCGGAAGGCACAGCTGCCGGCCACCTGGGAAGTGGAACCCCTGGGAGGGCGTCTGCGCCACCTTGAGGGGTGACAAGTGGCCGAGGTCTGCCATTTAGGTCGTGATGGGGTCCCCTGAGGAGACAGTGGATGCAGGAGCGTCCCGGGTGGCAGCTGGTGGGAGGCTGTGGGGGGGGCGGTGGCCGGGCCAGGGTCACGGGTCACACTGACAGGAGGGGACAGGAGCGGGGCACTGTGGGCTTTGTCGTCCCGTCCCCGTGCCTGGGTTGGGGGCCAGGTGGCCGCACTGGGCTCCGCCTTCTGGTCTGGTTTCCAGGGACCAGCGGCCGCAGTTGTCAGGGGACAGAGGATGACGATGAAGGGACATGAGGCTGTGAGGCAGGTCCTCGGTGCTGTCCCCAACCCCCGTGACTCCCAAGAGGCCACTTACCTGAGCCCTGCCTGGCCTCATGACAGGATGTGTCACTGTCCTCAGCAAACGGCCTGCTCACTGTGGGAGCAATGCAGCCCCAAGTGACCTGGGCAAGAGGGACCGGGTCACCCTGAAGGGGACACTTCTGTGACCAGGTCCTGCAACTCTGGGAGAGAAGGTGGCTCCTCCTGACCATAAAGTGTGACCAGAGCTGCCACGGCAGTGGGGACCTGACCGTCTGATGTCACCCCGCTGTCCGTCAAAGCCAAGAAGTGGGCCTGGGCGCGACTCTCTGGAAACTTCTCTGGGACCCCCAATAACACTGGGGAGCAGGAGAGGCCCCTGGTCCCTGTCCTCTCTGAGAGGTCCCACTCTGTCCCCTGAGAGTGTCCCCTTTCCTGTCCCCTCAGCAGGCTCCTGCCTGCTCCTCCGAGGGACAGGCCTGACATCTTTCTGACTCGGTGGCAGGTCGGGGTCTGCCCAGGGGTCTTCATGCTGCTGTGGTTTCCCGAGGCCCCGGGCTCTGTGTCACGGGGAAGGCGTGTGGGGACATTCTGGGGACCCAGCACCCGGGGGCCAGGGCTCAGGGCCCAAGCTCACAGGCCCCTGACCCAGCCGCTGGTGTCTGACATGTGACAGTGGCGGGGTCCCTCAGGATGCGGGGTGGGATTCCAGCCACCCCAGGGTCCCCCGCTGGCCGAGAGCAAGGTGACAGAGGTGCGGGTGGCCCCTGGTGGCCTCCAGCCTCCTGTTTTACTGACTGACTGTTTGGTGCAGGGACTGGACCAGGGTGTGAGCCACCGAGCCCCGTCCCCAGCCCTGTTCAGGGTCCCACGGGGCCACCCAGGGTCCCGTCTCTGGGGAATCTGGGACGACGGTCTCTCTTGTCCTTGGGGGGCCACAGGCGGGGGCCAGGGGTCCCTGTGGATTCCTGGGTGGCCTCTGAGGAGGACCTCAGGGCCCAGGGGAGCCCCTTCCTTCTGGTGCCCCAACGCGGGGTGTCTCCTGGTGTCCCCCCGACAGTGGGTGGCACGGGTCCCCTGTCGTGCCTGCTAGTCCGCCTGGTGCTCCGCGGCCTGCTGACCGCCCTGTCCCCTAACGCTGCTGTTCTTCCGTTGCAGGTTCCGGGGTGCACCCATCATTCCCGTGGCGGCCAAGCCTGGGGGCCCGGAGGCCCCCGAAACGGAGGCTCCTCAGGGGATCCCAGAGCTCATCGAGGTACCCAGACCCCGGCTGCCTCAGCCCCTGTGGCCGACCTCTGCCCTGGGGAGTGGGTCCTCTGTCCCTGTCACACCCTGCGGCTCCTTCCCAGGGAGGGACCTCGGCCACCAGCCTCAGGCCTGCCCGGCCTCAGGCCTCTACCCCCAGCCCGAGGCTCCGCAGGCCTCCTCACCCTGGCCTCCGTCTGGCCGCCCCTCCTCTGATCACCCCCACAAAGTAGCACCCCCAGCCTGGGACCCGGGCCATGTTGGCTGTTCTAGAAGCTTCACCTCTGTCCCTCCAGGGACAGGCAGGAGGGGGCAGTCCTGCATGAGCGATGGTGTCCAGGAAGGTGGCAGGGTCCCGCTGCTGGGCACTCTGGGCCACTCAGGGCCACTCTGGGCAGAGGGATCCTGCGTCTGGCCCTGGGGCAGGACTGCGCTTCCGTACACGGTGGCCAACGTTCTCAGCAACCCTGGGAGGCTTCCATGTTCCCCAGGAGGGGGCTGGGGTTCAGAGAGGTTAAGTGACTTGCCCAGGGTGGCTCAGCAAGTGCATGGAAAAGCTGAGGTTCAGACCCAGGCTGGTTGCTGGGGCTCAGCTCTGAGGTCCCCTTCCTCCAGGGGCCCTTGACCCCGGAGCCCCGTCCCCAGCCCTATTTGGTATTTTACTTAGAGACAGGGTCTCCCTGGGTTGCTCAGGGCCTCGCTTTGGCTGAGGCTGGCCTTGAACGCGTGATCCTCCTGTCTCGGCCTCCCAGGGCCCTGGGGTGACAGGCCGGGACAGTTGTTTTCATTCAAGGAAAACCCACCACAATGTGGCTCGGAGAGGCCTGTGCATTCCTTTAGAGCCTCTCCTCAAATCTCAGGCCAAGGCTGTTTTGAATTTCCCTGCTTTTCCAAAGGAATTGTTATCACAAAACTCGAACTTTGGAACGCTCCCCGCTGAATACTTGTGTGACAACTGCCCCCTCGGGAAGCTGGAGGGAGCAAGCCAGAGGGAGGGACGTGGTGCTGATGCTCGTGTGTTGATGGGTCATCGGCCCCGACAGCATCTCGGAGCACGTAGGTGGCACACGGAAAGCAGGCCAGCGGGGCCAGGCAGAGGGACAGAGCACCACGTGGGGACTGTGCTGGCCACGAGCCAGGCCCTCTGTCTCTGTGGGGCCCTGGAGAAGTGGCCACGGGGCTGCCCACTGACCGCTCTTGTCCTGCGACCTCCACACACAGGCCTTCTGTCCTCCTGCTCTCTCTGCTCTTCATGTGACTGTCCCTCAGATATGGCACCCGTCTCTAAGACACTCTTGAGGGTCCTCAGAGCCCATGAGCTAGATGACCAAAACAGTGTATGGCCAGGTGCGGTGGCCCACGCCTGCAATCCCACTGACTCAGGAGGCTGAGGCAGGAGGATCGCAAGGTGGAGGCCAGCCTCAGCCACTCAGCGAGACCCTGTCTCTAGATAAGACATAAAAAGGGCTCAGGGGACGGGGCTCAGGGGTTAAGTGTCCCTGGGTTCAATCCCCAGGATCAAGAAAAAAAAAAAAATCCCCAGGACCGTGTGTGAACTCTGGTGCCCGGTGTGTGGGGGGTGGCCCTCCAGGGTGTGGTCAGGGGCAGCCGAGACTGGGCCAGCTGGGGCTCTGGGCACACAGTGGTGGGCACCTGAGATGTAGGGAGGGGAGACGCGGCCTGCCTGGTACCCGGGGCTTAGAGGAGGGGGATCCCAGGTCCTGTAGGCCTCGGGAGGCGGGGGCCACAGGCAGGGGTCCTAGCCGAGCGTCCCCCAGGAGAGCCTAGTCCCTCTTCCTCCTCACCCAGCAGAAGTTGCTGGACACACAGCAGCACCCTGGCCTGCTTCTAGGGGTCCCTCTGACCTGGGCAGCTCGCAGGGCCTGGTGCCTGGCCAGTCCTTGCCTTGCCTTGGACATGCCCTGACCTTGGTTGCACTAAGTGGCTGAGGCTGGCCTCCAACTTGCGATCCTCCTGCCTCAGCCTCCGGGCTCCTGGGATGGCCACCGCGGCCTCTGGATTCTTGAGGTTCTGTAGGCCCCCTCCCTCCCCCACTGCGCCCCTGGCCCTTGCCGACAGGCTGTGGCAGCAGGGTCTCTCTCTTCTCCAGCTCCTGAAGTCCCAGATCTCCATCCCGACGAGAGACCCCTCGGGCCCGTTCCTCATGTCCGTGGACCACTGCTTCTCCATCAAGGGCCAGGGCACCGTCATGACGGGGACCGTCCTCTCAGGCTCCGTCAGCCTCGGCGACAGCGTGGAGATCCCCGCCCTCAAGGTCAGTCAGGACTCTGGTCTGTCTGGTGTCCGCCTCCAGCAGCAGGGGAGGGGACCGTCCTTGGCCGGGGGTGCCCCCGAGTGCCTCCTGGGCCTGGCCCCTCCCTGGCTCCCACCCGTCCTGCCTTGGATTCTAGATCCACCGCTCGCCCTGTCCCCCCAACAGCACGCGGCCTGTGAGGTCCCCAGTGGGCGTCCCCAGGAGGTGGTCTAGTTCTCAGTCCTGGGGGCGAGCCCAGGGCCTCACACATGCCAGGGACACTCGGTCACGGAGCCACATCCCAGCCCTGTTTATTTGAGAAAGGGTCGCGCTGAGTCGCTGAGGCTGGCCTCCAACTGGCGATCCTCCTGCCTCAGCCTCCAGGGTGCTGGGATGAGAGGCAGGGCCACCGCTGTCTCTGGATTCTTGAGTTCCTGGAGACCCTGGACTGACCCGCCCCGTGACTCACGAGAGAGAAGCGTGTTTCAGGGAACTGGCTCACGTGATCACGGGGCCTGGCGAGTCCAGAATCTGCTGGACAGGCACCTGTGGGTGGACGTCGCCCTCCCTTGAGGGACGTGCGTAGGGTGCCCTGCTCTGCCCCACGGCTGCCAACGTCAGTGTTAGTTGTTTCAATGAAAAATCGCCCTCCTGCTGGGGTTTCAGCATGCTGGGGGAGATCCGGCAAGTTCTAGAAAGTTCTAGAAAGTTCTAGAACGTTGGCCAGCTCTAGAAAGCAGGTGGACCTAAGCGGAGTCTGGGGTGAAACAGGCTCGTGAGCTCTCGGTGGTCGAGAATAGTGTCTGAGCACCTCCCCGGGCACCGTGGTCCCCCACGTGGACACAGAATGACACTGAGTGAGCCGTCCCTGGTCTGGGGCAGCGCGGTTGGACAGGGACAGGAACAGGAGTGGGCCGGCTGCACCAGGTGAAGGGACCTCAGGGGTCACCCCAGTCCCCTTTGATGCTGTTGAGGCCGACGCCTCCTCCTTCAGGGGCGAGGGCCCCCGACTCGGCTCTGGTCAGGCCCCAGGGCTCTGGGGACACGGCAGCAGGAGCCAGAGGACGTGGCCCAGGCTGTCCCCAATGCTGGGTCGGGGCCCCTCCTCCTGAGACCCAGGACAGCCCCGTCCACCAGCCGTTCTCAGCCCTGAGCTAAGTGCAAATCCTAGAAAATACGACGTGAAACTATGAAAACAAACCGCTGGTGTTTGACCAAAGGAAGGTCCTGGCCGCGACCTGGGCTGCTCCCCTGGGCCGTCCCCGTGTCCTGGAGGAGGGCCCCGGGGGCCACCTGGCCCTGCATCCCTGCTGCTCCCCAAGATGTCAGGAGAGGGTGACTCTGGGGGGGACTGGGAGTAGGACGAGGGTCGTGAGCACCATGAATCTGCAAAGCCATCACCAGTTGTCCTGGTGTGAGTGTCCCCAGAGCCCCCCTGGGAGGTGACAAAGGAAGGTCCAGAGGAGGAGTGAGGGGTGTGAGGCCTGAACCCCGGCAGTGAATGGCTCCCTGGTGGCCCCTGGTGGCCCCTGGTGGCAGGTGGGGTGTGGGGAGGAGGTGGCCCTGGGGCCGTGGCTTGGGGTCCCTATTTGTCCCTGGAGAGTGGAGTCCCTGCTCCCTGGTCCCCATGGGAGCTGCTCCCTCCCCACACTCTTCCTCCATGATGTCCTGCCTCCCCTCGCCCAGGAGTGGAGCCGCCGTCTGTGGACACCCTGAGCCCCACGTCCACGGTCCCCCTCTGCAGTGGTGCTGGAGGGTCCTTGAGTCACTGTGGCAAGAAAGCTGACCACAACAGGGGTGGACATTGATTCTGGTGACAGGTGACCTTGTGGGAGACAGAAAAGGTGACGCAGAGGTTCGCAGCAGGAAGTCCCTGTGGAGAAGGGGCGAGGTGGTGGGGTGCAGGGCCAGTGTCCCCTCACAGCCTCGGGGACCAACCCAACAGGCGCATGGGGACTTCCAGCCTCCAGAACCCTGGGAACCGTATCTGTGGTCCGCAGCGACACTCCTAGGAAATGACCCCGATTGTGGGTGGAGGGGACTCAAGCCAGAGAAGGCCTCGAGTCCCCCATGGTCCTGGGCAGGGTCTCAGGCCCCGGGCAGCTGCGAGCCTGGGGGCAGCCTGGCCCTTCCCAGGCTCCAGGGTGAGGCTCACTTTAGAGGCCCGGTCCAGGGACTCCTGACCCCTCACCCTGCCCGTCCTCGCCTGGCGGGACTGGTGGCCAGCGCCTGTGAGCAAGAGGCCATCGCAGGCCACGGCTCTCTCCCCGAGCCCAGGAACGTCCCTGTCAGATTTCCCTAATCGACTGGGACACTTCTGACCGCGTGAACTCCCGTGGGGGCGGGGCGCGGCCAGTCCAAATAAACAGTGGCCTTCCTCCCCCGGCCACAGTCCTGTGGCTGCCCCCGTCCATCCCCAGCTGGGGCTCATTACAGGAGCAAGAAGTGGGGGAGCAGGCGAGCGAGGCAGGGAGGACGCCCCGCAGCCCAGGGAGGCCACCAGCCTCTGCCTGGCCTCTGGTCTCCCAGCCTCCACCCAGGGAAGACGTGGCCTCGAGATCTGGGGCTGGCGATGTGGTGTGCCTCTGGGGGTTGTGACATCAGAAAGTGTCCAAAGCACTGAGCAAAAGTGCAGCAAGTCACCAAATGTCACTGCCCAGACTGACTGTGGGGGGTGTGCACAGCAGGGCTGGCTGTCCCTGTCCCCTCATGGGGGCAGGGTGCTGAGTAAAGTGGCTTCCAGAGCCCAGAGGACTTCCACCCTGCTTCTCAGACAAGGGGTCCTGGCGCTGGGCCTTGCGGGTGACAGGGACACTACAAAGGTGCCCTACAGCTGAGGGGTCTGGGGCTTGGGGTGCTCCGCAGGTCTCCCTGGGCTGTGTGGCCTGGCACCCAGGTCTGCAGTCCGTGCAGTGGCCCTGCTGGCTCAGAAATCAGGGGTCCCCTGGGGTGTCCTGAGCACCGCAGCCTCCCCCTGACCCACTCTGGCCTATGGCCCTGCCCCGTCCTCCAGTTCTCCCCGTCCCTCCTGCCTCAGACCCCAGGTCAACCCCCTGATGCTTGCCCCATGTGGAATCAATCCCACAAGCAGCCTCTGCTCTTGGGTTTGGGGGTAATGGGGTCTGACCCGTTGCTCTTTAACTCTCAGGTGTCGGGCAGAAGGTGGGCCTGGAACAACTAGTGCTTATTGAATAGTCTTGGTCCCAGTGGAATATTACTCACCCATGAAAAAGAATGGCTTTATGATTTTTGCTGGTAAATGGGTGGAGCTGGAGACGATCATGCTGAGTGAAATCTGCCAGTCCCCAAATCCCAAAGGCTGAATGTCCTCTCTGACATGCAGATGCTGACCCACAATAAGAGGGGAGAGCAGAAGTTCACTGGATGAGACGCAGGGGAGTGAAGGGAAGGGAGGGGAGGGACTGGGAGGGACAGGGGAATGAATGGACGTCACTTTCCCATGTTCACATAGGAACCCACGACCAGGGACATCCCACAGCAGGTCCAGCCACAGGAATGGGACGTCACACCCCATGTAGGTGGGACATGGCAGGATGCTCGCTGCCGTCACAGAGAGCTAAAAAGAACAAATAAAAAATTAAACAGAACTCTCCGTCAGTCAGCAGTCCCCAAGTCGTGGTCAGCTGAAGCCAGGGAATGAGTTTTCATAACAGTCAGGTCACCTGGGCTCCCAATAAGCAGATCACCTGAAGCCAGTCTTTTTCTCGGACAGTTTGGGGGACGCGTTGGGCTCTGATGTCTGACTTGCTGTGCAGCCTTGGTGACTCGACCTTTCTGAGCTCCCAAGTCTGCAAAATGAGGAAACCCTAGAACATATCTGTCCTGCGGGGTGTTGGGGGGTAAAAGGAGGTGACAGCGCCACGTGACGCGTCCAGCTCACTCAGTCAGCAGTCACCACAGAGCCCTGCCACATGCAGGCCTGGCCAGGCCACAGGGGACAGGGCAGGTGAGGCAGGTCACCATTTGGTCCTGGCTGAACGGATCTTTAGCATCAGGGCTGTTTCTATGGTGAGGGACGGAGAGCCAGAGGGTTTCTGAAGGTCTCGAGCACTTCCTGGGGAGACTGGGTGACAAAGGGACCCGGCCACTCAGACATCCAGGGGAGGAGCCTGGGGGGAGCTGGGCTGAGGAGAGGAGAGGGTGGGGAGCAGGTGGGGACGGAGGCCAGGGCCAGGGCAGCAGCCAGGGTGGGGGGCACAGGAAGTGCTTGAGGAAATCCTCCAGGAAGAGCTCCAAGAGGTATCCAGGAAGTACCCAGGAAATCCACAGCAAGTTCTAGAAAGTTCCAGAATGTCGGCTAGCTCCAGGAAGTATCCAGGAAATCCTCAGAAAGTTCTAGAAAGTTCCAGAGCATTGGCTAGCTCCAGGAAGTATCCAGGAAATCCTTAACAAGTTCTAGAAAGTTCTAGACAGTTCCAGAACATTGGCTAGCTCCGGGAAGTATCCAGGAAACCCTCAGAAAGTTCTAGAAAGTTCCAGAACGTTGGCTAGCTCCAAGAGGTATCCAGGAAGTACCCAGGAAACCCACAGCAAGTTCTAGAAAGTTCCTGAATGTCGGCTAGCTCCAACAAGTATCCAGGAAGTATCCAGGAAATCCTTAACAAGTTCTAGAAAGTTCTACACAGTTCCAGAACGTTGACTAGCTCCGGGAAGTATCCAGGAAACCCTTAGAAAGTTCCAGAACGTTGGCTAGCTCCAAGAAGTATCCAGGAAGCACTCCAGGAAGTGCTCTAAGAAGTACCCAGGAATATGCTTCAGGAATATCCGGGAAGTGCCCCCGAGGTGCCCCAGGAGGTGCCCACCTGCACTGCCTGTCCCTGTCCTTCCCCACGTGGCCCCTGCAGCCCTCTGGCCTGGCCCCTCCTGCCTTGGCTGCAGTTGGGATCTCTGCTGTGACCTCTCTTTTTCTCCTTAAAGGAAAGCCGGGTGTCCCCTGGGTGTGCACAAAGCCAAGGAGCCACTTAAGCAGAATATTTATAATTCCTTCTTTTAAGAAATAA